TAAGATCTAAAACATCGTTTGATTTTCACAAAAAGAGGACAACAATATTATACTGGGTCATTTATTTATATTTATAGTATCTGGTGTGACCGCCTTGTGCAGCAATAACCGTAAATAACGTTCGGGGTAACTGTTGATCAGTCCTGCATATCGGCTCGAAGGAATTTTAGCCCGTTCCTCAGTACAGAACCGCTTCAACTCTGGGATGTTGGTGGGTTTCCTCACATGAACTGCTCGCTTCAGGTTCTTCCACAACACTTCTATTGAATTAAGGTCAGGACTTTGACTCGGCCGTTCCAAAACATTAACTTTATTCTTCTTTGGCAGAATGACTTGTGTGCTTAGGGTCGTTATCTTTCTGCATGACCGACTTTCTCTTGACTTTCAGTTCACATACAGATGATCTGACATTTTCCTTTAGAATTCGCTGGTATCATTCAGAACTCAGTGTTCCATCCATAAGGCCAAATCATCCTGGAGCAGATGCAGCAAAACAGGCCCAAAATGTGGTACTACCACCACCATATAAAACGCTTCTCACTTAAACAATCATTAAAAGTTATATTTTGGTCTCCACAAATCCATCCACAAAACGTTTTTCCAATAGCCTTCTGGCTTGTCCACATGACTCAGGTGCATCTGAGTCTAGAAAATTCTAAAGGTCTTGCAACTTTCAAGCACCACTGTATGTGTGTGAAATATATATTTATATATATATATAATATTTCAATTTGGATATTCTAATTCATGGATACTTTATAATGTCATGAATGCAATCCAAGGCCACTGCAATCTAAAGATGTTCAGTTGTTAAGCATCTTCATTCATTTCCATTCACACTAGTTATATTTGGTTTTAATCAGACTGCCAGTTCATTCCCTATAAAAGAGAGCCCCAAATGTAATCTTCTAGTTCGTACATAATGTTGTAGTTTAAAAAAAGAAAGAAAAAAGAACCTGTTCCCGCATGACAACACCCCTTTTCACAAAACAAGGTCCATGTGCTTTGGTCATCTTGGTTGGGAAGAACTTGAGTAAGCAGTACAAAGCCCGGACCTCAACCCCTCTGAACAGCATTGGGGTTGTTACGACTCAGTCTAGGGTCAGGTCGCACACCGTAAATAAAAGCAAGGGATAATGTAAACTGAAGGAGTAAATGGTGTCCGAGCTTCAGCGGTTCTAAGCTGTTGGCACTGGCTTCCGTCGCTGTTAAATACTGTCACTCATTGCTTATGTCATCTTTGTGGCAGAAGCAGCACACAAAGCTGATGGAGCAGCATCCAAGGCAGGAGACCCGGACTGGAGTCTGGAACACAAATGGGGGATTCTGCAATATTTTTCCTTATTTTCCATGATTATGATTCAATCATTTAAGATCAGTTCAATGTGATTTTTGCTTCCTCATGGTCTTACGTTTTTGTGTTTCTGTCCTTGATTATGTTTTTCTCAAGGTGTTTCGTCTTTTGTCTTATATTTTTCTCTAATGTTTTCCTTAACTAGCCTGGGGTATGTTGCCTGCACGTACAGCTCAGAATAAAAGCCAACTTATCTTTGGACTGTGATTGAGACTACGAAACACTGTAGTGCCCCGGGTGTCTGCACGCATAATAAATCATCTCTTTGACTATACCCTGGCTCTTGGTCTCCTGATTCTCCAAACATCTTACTTCTGGTGAAGCATTTGACTCATCGAGAAAAGATTTACATCAGTTGATTAAGAACGTTACCATCTTTTGACTTAATTGTGGTGATATCCGAGAAACATTCGTTAGACCGCCATCTAAGGGTCGAGTAAACGGCTCGGCCTAGCCCCGTTAAAAATAGTACAACCGACGCGTTGTATGAAAGAAAAATGAAGCACGCTGCTTCATAATAGCATCCATATCTTTTTTCAACAAGGTCAAATTGAAGCCTAGCATCCTCATCTTAACTTCGTTGTAATAGACCATCTAATGCCAAAAGTTTAGACTCCAAGTCGTGTAATCTAGATGAACGAGCCTTGTTTATGTTGCCTTGTTAAAGTAAAATCCCTAATAAACCCTTTAACATCATCCCAAAATATCCTCGGATTCATCAACTGAGCCTGATTGAGTCTGTTAATAGACTTGCGAAAAGGGTTTCGAATGCTTCATCACGGAGAGGTTTTACGTCGAAACGCCATCTAGGGGTCCGGGCTGGTTTAGAACTGATCAAAACTTATTAAAGCAGTCACCGCTTTATGGTCGGAAAATGCCACTGGCAATAAGCCAGTCTTCATTAACCTATCAAATACGCTTTATTTTAACGTACAATTTTATTGTTCACTTTCTCATATATTTAGTACAGTACGAATACTATACTAACAGTATAAGGGATCTTTTCTCGGTATGTAACTTTGACTGGAATGTTACTGACCTGAACTGCAGAGTTTTCTTCTGGCTGCACTGTACAGAGGCCACGGCCAAAGGAAGAAAACATCTCCTTTACCACGGGCACAGTCAGTGGCTCTCGATACCTTGTAGTAAGGTAGATAGAAAATAAACAACAGCGTTGATAAATCACCTCGCCTTGACTGAGGTCTTCTGCTGCCTTATATTTTCCTGGAGCGTATAATGTTGTGGCAGGGGAAGGAGATGGCTAACAATTAAGTAGAGCCAACAAAAAGGCTCACGGCGGTTAAATTTACTCGAGCACAATAGTGCGGTCCAGGAGATGAATTTAGTGGGCTTTGCCAGTGAGGATTTTATGGCCTACTTTAAAGGAGACAAAAGAGTTCAGTCAGCCAGTTAATTCAAAGGCTTAATTACCTCAGTTGGGCATGGGACTACCGCCAGCCACACATAATGCCGCATTCATGTCACACTTACCGTATTTACAAGTTAAAGACTGAAACTATTCATATCAACCTTAGCGGGAAATCTGCGTCGGTAATTTGTAGAACTTTCTGACAGCCTCGGTGTAAAACCACAGCAGTGCAGCGGCTATACTGACAGTCCATCTAATTTCTTCAGTACACTGCAAAACCTTAGAAAGGTGAAAAATGAAAGAAATTAAGCACGTGATAGAAAATAAAGAAATATTTGCTTTTGCGTCTAAGGTGTCAGAAAACAAACAAACGAGCATTTTAAATTCGAAATTAGTGCATGTTTTTGCCCCAATTAGAGCATGTGCCTAAGAATCCGAGCACAACTGTCGTGTGGTATTTATCCTCCATCTTGTGTTTGAAGTGAACAAATGTTGTAACTTATCTGCCAAGTTCTCCTACATGCCTAGTATAATCATACATCATCTCTTGACTTCATTTGACAGGCATGCAGTTTAAATAAGATCAACTAAAGCAGAGATCATACTGATTTATGTTGTGCGTATCTGTGTGTGGTAGATAAGTACCAGCGAGGGTGGGCCCTAGAGCATGAAGAGGTGGATATCGGGACCCAGGTGGTGCAGGTGATCCCACCCGGGCTGTTCTGGCGCTTCCACATGGCTGTGCATCGCCCAACTTATATCAAATTCAACCTTTCTGTCTCTCAAAACGCTTTACTTGGCATCTACGGAAGGCGGAACATCCCACCCACGCACACGCAGGTACGGTAAGGCGTCTCCAATTATCCATCCAGAACATTTCTTCCTGCAACAGCTCCCTACGGGGAAAGTTACAAAAAGCACCGGTTTCATCGTCATGTTTCATTATCCATGTGTGGAATGTGCAAACCTCAGTCATGTAGTTTTCAGGATTCAACACAATAAGAAAAGAGGGGAAGGGGGAGGGGGTAGGCATTAATGCAGCACTGTCAAACATGAGTATTTGATAGATTAGAAGTGCAGGAAATAAACACTTCCTCCTGACATTGTTGTTCTGATGGTATAAAAGTCAGGGCACCAGTAACAAAGCCAGCAACAGAAGTAGGAGAGAAAAATAAATCATTCTGTCTACTAGCCTGCCTCATCACGGAAGAAATAAGCAAAAGCTAGTGACACGTGCGAGGTCAGGCACAGCCGGCTGCCTGAAAGGAGAGTCATAGCCCACTTATCTGGTGATTCAGTGTGTGTGTGTGTGTGTGTGTGTGTGTGTGTGTGTGTGTGTGCGCGCCTGTTCAGGACCCAGCCCTCGTTATCTCAACTACCACCAAGAGAAAAGACCATGTCACATCGCCAGGTTAGATCCCTGTCTAGACAGTTTCAACCCTGCATTTGCTGCAGTCATTGTCTCAGCTTGTGTATTCTGAGCACGGTCACCAGTCTCTTGAGTTGAGTGAGTGAATGAATGAGTGAGAGAGAGAGAGAGAGAGTGAGTGAGTGAGTGAGTGAGTGAGAGAGAGAGAGAGAGAGAAAAGGTTTGAGTGAGAGTGTGAGTGAGAGTGTAGAGAGGAAGAGAAAAAGAGAAAATGAAAGAAAAAAAGAGTGAGAGAGAGATAACAGTAAGTAACTGCTCAAATGTAATAAGGGGCTATGGGATATTAATTTACCAGGGAACTGCAAATTTAAAAAAGGTCTGGAAAGAATAGACATAGAAGGAATTTTTTTTGATTCATCACACCAAACTCATGCTATTTTAAATTGGCTACACAGATCAGAGTGCTCCCTCGTGGTGGGTTGTGCTGAACCATCATGATCGGGGTTAAATTGGGATTTAGAATGCTCGAGATTCTTTAATGGGTTTCAACAATATTGGAATGCTATTGAATGGTCTTTATACGGTTTCTCAACATCAAAATCAAGGAAATATGATCGGAAATTGAGACATATCCATCCACCCATCCATCCATCTTCTATACCGCTTATCCTTTTCAGGATCACGGGGAACCTCTAGCCTATCCCAGGTAGCAATGGCGGGGTACACCGTGGACAGGATGCCAATCCATTGCCCAATCACACACACATTTACACACTACGGACACTTTAGACACGCCACTCAGCCTACCATGCATGTCTTTGGACTGGGGGAAGAAACCTCCAGAAAACCCCAGAGAAAACTTCCCCCATGGGGAGAACATGCAAACTCCGCATACACAGTGTGTACAGTGTGCACAGGTGGGAATTGAACCCCCCGACCCTGGAGGTGCTAGACGAACGTGCTAACCACTAAACCATGAGACATATCCATTTGTGTCCAAAGAGCTTAATTTATTGAATAGAGACTCTCTAAAGAGTTTGGACTCCACCTATCTACAGTCAGACAGTTTGTGTACACACGGAGGAAATTCAAGACCAGTGTTACCCTGCCCAGGAGTGGAGACCAATAAAGATCACTCCAAGAGCAAGACGTATAATAGTCCACGAGGTCACCAAGGAACCCAAATTAACTTCCAAGCAATTAATGGCCTCTTCTCACTTTAATGTTCATGAGTCCACCATTAGGAGAACACTGAACAACAGTGGTGTTCAGGATTGCAAGGAGAAAGTCACTGCTCTCCAAAAAGAACATTGATGTCTTTCTGCATTTGCTAAAAGGTCATGTGGTCAAACCAGAAGGTTATTACAAAAATGTGTCGTGGAAAGATGAGACCAAATTAGAACTTTTTGGTTTAAATAAGAAGTGTTTTATTTGGAGAAAGGAAAATGACTGTATTCTAGCATAAGCATCCTTATCCCATCTGTGAAACGTAGTGAAGGTAGTATCATGACTTGGGCCTGTTTTGCAGCATCTGGGCCAGATCAGCTTGCCATCATCAATTATACCAGCGAATTATAAAGGAACTGAATCTCATGAGAAAGTGGGTCATGCTCCTAGACAACGACCCCAAGAACACAAGTCATTCTACCAAAGAATGGTTAAAGAAGAGTAAAGTTATTGTTTTGGAACGACTGAGTCAAAGTCCTGACCTTAATCCAATAGAAAAGTTGTGGAAGAACCTTAAGGGAGCAGTTCACGTGAGGAAACACACCAACATGCCAGAGTTGAAGCTGTTCTGTCCTGAGGATCGGTCTAAAAGTCCTCCAAGCTGATGTTCAGGACTGATCAACAGTTACCCCGAACGTTTAGTTACAGTTATTACTGCACAAGATACTGAAACCAGATACTGAAAGCCAAAGGTTCACATACTTTTGCCACTCACAGACATCATTTTCCTCAATGAACAAATGACCATGTTTAATATTTTTCTCTCATACATTTAATTGAGTTCTTTTAGGACTTGTGTGAAAACGTGCTGATGTTTTAGATCATGTTTTTGCAGAAATATATACAATTCACACAATATCAAGCACCACCGTGTGTGTTTACATCATTTCTTTTCAGGTGAGCAAAAGTATAGGAACAGACAAGTCTTGAAGTATATGAAAGTAAATAACACAATAGGCTATTTGGTTGCATGTTCCTTGCTTGCAATTACTGCATCAAGGTCTGGTGTTTGACCTGGCCAGTCTAAAACTGGCCACTCCCTCCTGCCACATATTGTAAAACAACTCTACACCCAGAACCTTAAGAACCTGTTAAGGACCTAATTTGTCCTTTATTTCATTGCCACACTTCTTCCTAAAGTCACAACTTTCAAGGAGATGAATCAAAATGTTCGGAAAGTTCCTCTACATCGTGTATATGTTTATTCTGACTTTCCTTCATCCCTCCCTTCAGTTTGACTTTGTGAAGCTCCTGGATGGTAAGCAGTTGATCAACTTGAACTCTGAGCAGAGGAACCTGCAGCTTCACTCTGTGCATGAAACAGTCTTCATTGAGTACATGGACCCTGGAACATGGTACTTGGCACTTTACAATGACGGCAAGAAGGTGGAACAGGTCTTGCTTCTGAGCACCACTATTGGTAAGGCTACCTTTACCAACAAGTTGTAAATATATTTCTTTTCATGTTATTTATTTGTCCACCTTTTAAATAAATGAGAAAATGGCTCTGTGGTATGAAAGAAATATCTGTACTGCAACTGAACGTATTACAGCTCGAGTCTTTTAAATAGTGTTGATTGGGAACAGGTGTGTGGTATCAGTCCTCAGGGGAAAGTGACGTGTCAGTGTGTTCCGTTGGGAGTTGCAGTCGTTGGCCATGTTTGTGGTTCGTGGTGCATTCTGGGAAATTGAGTTGCTAGTTTGACGTGACCTTTAGTTTGCTTGTCCGTTGATGAGTGGACCAAATCATAACCCGAAACATCTAAAGGCAAACGTGGACGTTTTAACTTCCAGGAGATTGTAATTGTTGTAAATCATTTGAAACAATGGTCGGTGAATATCATGACAGTTCTGAGCAACAGAAATGAACATTAACAAGTGACCTTTTATTCTCACGGAAAATGGTATACGGTATCTGTGTAATCAGGCCGTTTAATCAGCACCTTCATGAGGTGCACACGTCTGGTGGATGTATCATCTTCAAGACAAATTCTTGTCGTGTTCACGGCTTGTCCCTGAAGGACGTCAAAACAAGATGTTGGGGGGAAGGGCGGGGGGTGTCTTGAAATTTTTTTAATAGTGCAAAAATAGTTTGCATTGCTCAGTCTATCTGAAAAGAAAATATCTATCAATTTGACCACCGCTAAAATAGGTCATAATATCGTCAATGCATGAGTGCACCGAGTAGGCTAAATGCGTGAAATAGCACGCAGTTGTGCACTCTATCGTCCGAATGCAACGCAGATATTATGGGAGACACCATAAGTGTTTCAAAGATATTTTTTGCTGTAAAATAAATGTCATAATCTAAATATACTTGTATTTCAAGCATTCGTTTTCTGCACTTTTTATCAAACTGAAATGCTTATGGTGAAATGATTATACCCGTTGTCTTGAGGTCACTCGAGTGAAATGTCTCGAGTGTTAAAGAAGCAAGCTGATAAAATACTGTTAATTATGACGGCGCACGACTCTGAATTTGAGTGTAACATATACAGCGGGGGAAATATGTATTGGAAGCGTCTGCATTTTTTTTTCAGTAAATATTTCTCCAATGAGACTATTTACATGAAATTTTCACCAGACATTGGTTTTAAAGAAGTCCAAACATTAAAGTCCATAAATGAAGTTATGTGTAATAAAGAGGAATGACACGGGAAAAAAGTACTGAACACACTAACTGAAGTGTATTTAATAATTAGTGGAGAAGCCTTTGTTTGTAATGACGGCTTCAAGACGCTTCCTGTATGAAGAAATGAATGGGCCGCAGTATTCAGGTGTGATTTTGGTCCGTTCCTATAAACATATTTTCTTTAAATCTTGTTCAATTAGATTCAAGTGAGGCGATTGACTGGGCCATCAATATGTTTAACAACAATAAGGTTGAGAAGATCTTGGGAGAGTTCTTTGCTTTTACCCATCATGAGATGTTTCTTGTGTGACACCTTGGAAACGAAAAACTTTTTTTATAGACCATCAATTTAGTAACCCAGCTGATATGAATTTGCACAGATAGGGGGTATAATTGTTTTCTAACTACTTACGGATTTCAGCTGGTTCCTTGCCTTGGAGAACTGCTTTTTCTTAATGTGTTTTGTATCATTCCACTTTATTACATGGACTTATAAGGATGGGGTTGGGGGTCATTTTTAAAAGTGGGTCGCACTCCCAAACAGTTTACGAATCACTGTTCTAACCATGACAATTTGGCCCTTTTCAAAGTTTCTCAGATCCTTACACTTGCCCATTTCTCCTGCTTCCAGCACATCGACTTCAAGAACTGACTGTTCACTTGCTGCGTAATATATCCCACCCCTTGACAGGTGCCATTGTAATGACATACTCAATGTTATTCACTTCACCTTTCAGTGGTTTTAATGTTATAGCTGATCGCTGTGTGTATCATTAGTCATCTGCAAAGTACAAAATGCTTCTTGGCTTCTTGTAGGAGCTGGCTATTGCTTCTATTTTTATTTTCCCTCTTGTTTGTGGGCAACAAAAAGCACCGAGGATAAAAATATCAGTGTGCAGTTCATGTAGAAGGCTCATCCGTGGTAGTTCTTTCTTCCTGCTGATTCAGAAACATCTCTTCTGTGTTTTTCTCCTCTCTTGTCCCGCTCTGAGCTGTTGTTTGTGTTCCTATTCTGCCCATCCATCATGATGTCCACTTTTAATGTAGGCTTTTCCTAAATGTGTGATGTACATATTGGCACAGTGTTGGGAACTGACGTCCAGAATGATGAAGCTTTTGAAGCAGCCTGATTTTATTATGTCTAATGTCTGGTAAATAGCTTTGACTCATCTAGCCCAACATATTGTCTAAACAGTACAAATACAAATATTTACTCATACTACCACAATAACGAAACTTTATAAATAACGTTAATTTGTAAATTACAATGTGTCCGTGTGCATATCCAATGTTCACACCTTATTTTCCAGACTATAGCGTTTTTTCTGTCCCCCTAGCAGGTGCTAAACCTTTGAAGGTGAAACCATGTCATAGTTTTCCTATTAACCCAATTAGCCTAATTAGTCAGTCTGCTGGTATTTAAGAATACATGAATAGAAATATTCAAAACACATAAAGTAAAATTATGCATTTTATAAATATATCAGCTGTATTGAGGCAGAGCATAGGGCTCGAAATCTTATCCCCAAACAAGCACACTTGGCCTGTATGGCAAGTGAAGTATGTAACCTGATGTGGTGGGAATGCTATAGCAGGCATGTACCAGAATATAAATTAGCACAAAATGTATGTGCTTCTCTGCAGTTCAAGTAACTAAATTTTTTATTTTATTTTAGCTTAGTTTATTGAATTATAAAGCACATTTAAATACATCAGATGTTGAATACAAACAGAATTAAAACAAATTAAAAGACTAGACAAAAAACAAAAAAAAGGCCAAATGAAAAATGTACACCCTCAATTAAAACATAAAGAATACAAATAGGTCTGTAAAGAGGATTTAAACATAAACGAAAAGCCTCGAGTAGTAATAGATTGGACGTTTGAAGGGGTCTTGAAGCAGTGTACAGGGTGAGAAGATCACAAATATACTGAGCAGCAAGTCCATGCAAAGCTTGAAAAACCTAGATGTTCTAAATGCATGAATAACAGTTTCGAGGTCCTTCTTAGAAAGCATCTTGATTCTAGCAATAGATCTTAACGGAAAGAAACGGCTTTTTACAACAGCACTAATCTGCTTATCAAAGCACTGTGTGGAGTCAAAAAGGACACCAAGGTTCTCG